TAACTTCCTTTTAGTTGATGCACAAGCTTTGACATTTAAATATAAGGCTTATATGATCCTGTTCACATCGCCGAAAAGGGAAAGATTTAATGATGCTCTCAAATAGACGGGTTTTAGTGAATACTTCATGCCAATTTGGGATCAGAAAGAATTCAAAACGCTTTGGGATCTTCAATACAAGAATAAGAAAAATAAGAACGGTGAGGAGTTCACACATGAATTATTCGATGAATTGTTAGGCAAGTGGGGTCCAATACCCAGATCAGTTCTTTCAAAATGGGATAATAAAACATATCAGAACAAATTCGATAAACTGATTGAAAGCTCCGACTTAGAAACATGTATGAAGTCTATTAATTCGTCAGGCGTATTTGGGGAAACATTAATTGAATAATCACTGCTGACACGATAATTTAAAGTAATATCCGCCATTTTCGCTTTCTAACATAAAAATAAATAGTAAGTAGAAATTCGCTTTCGAAATAAAAAAAAACATATAACAAACAATGTATGTTAACCAGACCTTGAGAGTAAATTTTAAGTAAGTTAAGCCAAAAAAATATATAAGAGCAACGTTATTGCTAACTTACCTTGTGAGCAAATCCGCTTATTTTTATACCGTCCATTCGCAAGATCTAAAAAACTTGCCAGAAAAAAAGTTATATGATTAGTAATTGGGTTAAGGTAACTCAATCTAGATCACACCATGTAAAGCAAGTCTATTCGGTCATAAGCTCCATATACTGAATGTATTTTATTATTTTTTTAAGGTGAAATTAAACCCCCTTAGATTCGACGATCGTTTAAAGTGGGTTTAGATCTGACGATCTCGGAGATGGCGGAGATTCCAAGTTCCTGCAACATATGAATTTTGATAATACTAATAAAGAACGTTATCCCTTAAACCGTCTAGCGGCCAAATTTGGCCGCTTAAACATTTTTAAACCTATTTTGGTGTAATTGCTTCGGATTTTTCTAAGACGCACCCCCCTTTTCTAAACTCAAATTAAAACGCATCATATTGCCGATCACATATAAATTCGGTATTCGGCAAAACCACGTACATTTATGCAAACTGATAAGTTGAAGTTGTGTATTTAGAACAATCGAACAAAGAAAAAAAATTTAAAAAAACTGAGAAATATAAAAATTGGCAGCCAATAATCTATTTTAAGTTATTAATAAAAAATGTCAATAAGGCTGCTTTACGCATAATATTTGCTTATTCCTATTATTCCCAGTATTAGCTAACAATGATTACATTTTAAATGAATATTTCAAATCACATGGGTACCGGGTTTTAACGTTGCATCGCATTTAAAAATTCAAAAAAATTTTTTGTTAGTAAAAAAAACAATTTTTTTTTTGTTAGTACGTATCAGTTGTACGAACATTGAACAAACAAATAAAATTGAATTTAAGTTACCCGTTTCTTAGAAATCCAAATTAGATCATAATTCTTATTTGGGTTTAACC